TAATTTCAGTTACGACGGGTTTCAAAATTTGTCAGAATTTTGACAGGTTATTTACTAATAGTTTATTATAATTTTGATAGAATTTAGACAGTTACTAAGAGATTTCGACAAGCAACCTTAATTATAGTAGAGTTAAAAGTAGTAATTAATAAAAATTTTTCAAAAAGTCCAGTTACTTACAAAATTTATTGAACTAATACAATCTTTAATTTACTTTAAATTAACAAAAAAAAGAACATACTATTTTATTTAAAAAAATATAATTAACTTTAATAATAATAATTTATTATTAAAATTTAATAAAAAAAATAATTAATTTGTTTAATTATTTTATTTATAATAATTTATTTAGAAATTATTAATTTAAATATAAATTATTTATAATATTTTTTAATATAAATAAAAATTTTAATATTTTAAATAAAAAAATTTTGATATAATTAAAAAATTTTAGTATAAAATTATTAATTTATATTAAGATTTATATTAGTTTAATATTATTTTAATATTATTAAAATTACTTATTTATATAAAAATTCTTTGACAATATTAAACTTATTTATTTATATTAATTATTATATCATTTTGATATTATTATATTATTTTGACATTGTTTTGATAATATTAAAATTACTTATATATATATATATATAAATTCTTTAATAATATTGAAATTATTTATTCATATTAAAATTTATTTACTATATTATTTTAGTATTATTATATTATTTAATATTATTTTAATAATATTAAAATTATTTATTTATAATAAAATTCTTTGACAATAATATAATTATTTATTTATATCAAAATTTATTTATTGTATCATTTTATTATTATATTATTTTAATATTGTTTTAATAATATTAAAATTATTTATTTATATCAAAATTCTTTGATAATACTAAAATTATTTATTTATATCAAAATTTATTTATTGTATTATTTTAATATTACTATATTATTGTATTATTTTAATATTATTATACTATTTTGATATTATTATATTATTTTGATATTATTATATTATTTTAATATTATAATACTATTTAAATAATAATAATAATAATTTATAATAAGAATTTTGATATTTTAATATTTGTTAAAAAGATTTTTTTAGTAATAATTATTATTATAATAATATTAAAATAATATAATAATATTAAGATAGTATATTAATATTAAAATAATATAATAATATCAAAATAATATAATAATATTAATATTATATAATAATTATTCAAATAAATTACTAATTATTAATTAATAATTAATTGGATGATTATATTAATAAGATATTATATTAATATTAAAATTATCAAATATAGAAATAAGAAAATATATAAATTAATATAGTATAATAATATCAAAATAATACAATAATAATTTTAATATTATTAAAATAATATTAAAATAATACAATAAATAAATTTTAATATAAATAATTTTAGTATTGTTAAAGAATTTCAGTATAAATAAATAAGTTTGATATTATTAAATAATACTGAAATAATATAATAAATAAATTTTAATATAAATAATTTTAGTATTATTAAAGAATTTTAATATATAGTGACAATTAAAAATAATACAATGACATTAAAATTTATTAATTAAATATAATAAAATATGAATTTTTCTCTTTATATAAAAGTTTTCAATTTTACTAATAAAAAATATTTATTAGTAAAATTGAAAACTTTTATATAAAGAAAAAAATTTGTATTTTACTATATTTAATTAATAAATTTTGATTATTTCTGATTGTTACTAAAGATAGAATCACAATTGATTGCAACTTGATCACAATTCTCTAATTGGCTGTTGTAATTAATTACAATTAATTGAGACATTATCTTTAATTATTACTATATATAAATAAGTAATTTCAGTATTATTAAAACAATATCAAAATAATATAATAATATCAAAATAATATAATAAATAAATTTTGGTATAAATAAATAATTTTGATATTGTCAAAGAATTTTTGCATAAATAAGTAATTTTAATAATATTAAAATAATATAATAAATCTTGATTTCTTTTTATCAAATTCTAATATAAATATCTTTTTATTAATGTTATTATTATTAATTATTGAATAATTATTAATAATAAATTCAAATTTAAATTATTAATTATTAATTAAAAATATTATATTTTACAAAATTCATTTGTATACCAACTTTCACAAAAACTAATTCAAAATTTATTTAAATCTTTAATAATAAATAAATAATTGAATTAATATTTTTAGCCAGTTTTTGTGAAAATTAATATACGAATAGGTTTTGTAAAGTATAACATTTTTAATTAGTGGTTCAGATTTGTATTTATTGTAAAAAAAAGTTTTTCAATATGAGAAATTTACTGATTGAAAATTTTGATTTAAATTTCACAATTTTACAAAATTAACTAAAATAATCTGTTATCAAAACACTTTTAAAAATACTAGAGATCTTGTGAACTGATATTGATGTAGATAAAAAATTTTGATCGCGTGTTCTATTTCATATGCAAGTCACTATATAAAATTTGTAAGTCCAGTGGTTCAATAGTGCAGAACTGGACTAAGTCTAGCTGACAATTATCGTTATTGAATACTCATTTAGTTTCTATAAAGGGTCAATGAAAATTATCCTAGTTTGGAGATTTTCCCTTTTTGTTCCAGATAGATAATAATCGACAAGTTCATGCACGTGTAAATTTATTCATTTTTATTCGGAAATAGTGATTTCGATAATTTTTTATGGGTAAAAATTACTATATATAAAAAACCTACTTTTATTATTATAATAATAACAATAGAATAACCACTATATATTAACTTACCAATAATATGCATCGACTCGTAAGAATAGGAAGATATTAAAAATTTTTATTGTTTCTACGATAATAAATAATAATACTAAAGTTATAATCATGAATCCATAATAAACTAATAAAATTAATAATAATAATAATAAGAATAATCACAATGGGTTAATTTTCTTGGTACTTAGTTTCCACCTCGACAGGTGTGCCAAGCTATAACAATATGATGATGGTTAAGAATAGTCAATTTTTCGTGAGAATTAGAAGTTTAAAAAAAATCGAACTTACTTGGAAATCCACATGCCGCAGAAGCTAGTCCATAGATGATCAGCTATTCACAAAAAAATCAAATCAACATTATAGTTATTTTGAAAAGAAAGGAATAACAAAAATAATAATAATAATGTACTTACAATTATGACAAATACCAAAAGAATCATTAGTTTTGTATTCTTCCACCACATTGATCTCTAAAATAATAAAAAGGTTTCAATTATTAGAAATATTATCCAATACTTGCGAAAAATATCATAGTAATATTATATTAGAATAAGACAAACCTTCAATGCCGTGCTACGTTTTCTGAATGCAAACGCTTGTAGATTAAGGCTATCAGTCTTATCTACGAGAAGTTCAATCCTTTCTCCCCGCTCCAAAACACGTTCTGTATTCATGATTTATTATTTAACGCTAAAATAAATGCTGTATAAAAAGACAAATAAAATTTTCTCTTGTCATTTACCGATATTATGCACCATCACATCTTTAACTTGTTCAATCTCACCGTGGACTTGTTTGATTCGGTCGGCATTTGGATTGGTGGAAAAGTATTCCTATGCGGAGATAATAAGAAAATAATTAACCCAAGATGCATTCACAAGTATGTTATGTATGATGATTTCTTATTAGCTTTACCATTTGTTTAGCGATAACCTTTGAGAACTCGTTCATTCCATATGGCAATGCAGTATTAGTCCGATCTTTGGAATAAGTGTTCAAAAACCGTTCTTTAATGTCCGCCAAAAAGGCGAAAGGTATTCGACGTCCAAAGCTATCATCAGCCATGCACATATAAGTGAGGCCATCTTCACAGATATAATGAAATAGATATCTAAAATGATATTAGGAAAATAATGATTAATAATGAAATCTCTCGGTATATGTATTCGAAATAGTTTATAACCTATCGTAAACGTAAGTTAGCTTTGAATTGTTTGGCGGTATTTTTTCAAGAATTGCTTGTGTCACTGTTTTTATAGTAACATGTTAGTTGATAGAACAATCAAATTCAAAAGTAACAAGTATTTATAAGGTAATACCTTGAGTGAAATTCCCGGAAGAGTTTGTGTACTCTGCGAGAATAATAGGCCCACGGGCTACTAAACCATATACTAAACTCATAATTTACGTATTAATAAAAGTGAATACAAAAATGAATGCTCGTCACTATTTCTACGTGAAAAGAGTATAAGAAATGACGAGTAATTTTTTTATTCTTTTTTAACTATAAATAGTTATTTTTAACAGTCACGCTCAAAGTTTGATATATTGTTGTAATGAAACTTTCAACATCAAAGATAGATAATATACACATTATTACATTATCGTTATATACAAACGCAGTATTCGGAGTCGTACAAACATATCAACACGCATTATAAAAATGAGTTTCCAAAATATGTTGTTTTAATCACAAGTTTCTTGTTTCTTTTATCGACAACAAGAAAGTTGATTGGTAGACAATCTTTTTGTAATATACTAAGTAAACACTACTAAATAGCATAATAAAAATAATTTTCGCGTCATGCCATCTGAACACTCTCGTTCGTCATCAGCCTCTTCAGTTACTTCACCCATACCCACCATCAATGTCAAGCTTGTAAACCCTACAAAGCCTGCTGGGTCTTCCCTTAATGAAACGCCTCTTTCTAGTAGCGTTCGAGGGTCTCATTCAGAGCTACTGGAAATATTTAACGCTCGTATAAATGCAAATGCAAGGGAACGAGGCAATTCACGAGATAGAAATTCGCCAAGAGATAAAAGTCCAGCTAGAGGAAAAAGTCCATCGCGTAATAGTAGTAATAATAGTAGTAATAATGGTAATACTAATAATAATAATAGTAATAATAATACAAATAAAAACTCTTCAAGTGAGAAACGTGGAAAGAGTCCTTCTGGTAGGCCAAAAAGTCCATCTTCAAGTGATAAATTTTTGGATAGGCCGAAAAGTCAAGAACGGCCTAGATCACGAAGTCCCGGACCTAAAAGTCCGAAAAATTCAGGTTCTAACCATAATAGTATGAATAATAGAGACTCGTCACGTTCTAAAAGTCCTCGGCCCGGTGAAAATCTTTCTAGATCTTCGTCACAAGATGCTCGTTTAAGTAATGTATTACACCCTTGGATTGCTTCTTCTCTTGGAAATGGAAATGGAAATGGAAATAATAATGGGAGTAGTGATCGAAGCTTAAAAAACACTAATAGATTGAGTTTACCTCCGAACTTTGCCGATGTTAATATTAATACAATTCGAGAGAATAATGAACGATGGGCTAGACTTAATCTAACACAGACGACAATCTCAGATAAAGATCAAAAAAATATTATGGGTAATTTTTTAAAGACAACACTTCGAGGAGGTACAACTATACTTCGTCCGAAACTCTCTGTAGAAACTTTTAACAGTTTTGCTGGTGGTAAATCCCTTCAAAGAACTCCGTCAGGACGTTCTGGTAGTTCTAATAATTCTTCACCGTTGCTGGTGCCTGGCGGATTCCCATTAATGAGATCTAGGAGCTATAATTCGGCGATAGATGATGTTCATCGATTGTCATCTAAATTCCGTAAAGAATTAGAAAAGCCACATCCGCTGCAACATTCTTGGTTTGTATTATTGTGATAATTATATTCAATCAGTTGATTACAATAATGTATTTATTTGGTTATATTGAACATTTGGCATTTATGATGATTCACATGTATTAGGACTATGTATTATGATAGCAAGCCAGTCATGACTCCTGGTCCTAAAACTCCTACTTTGAAAACTTCGTACGAAGAAAATTTGCAGAAAATCGGAACTTTCAATACAGTAATAAAATATATTTTATTTTGACGTCTTTACATTTGGAAATGCTTTTTTGACCTCTTATTTGCGTTTCACATATACAGGTGGAAACATTCTGTCAATACTTCAATTGGGTGAAAAAGCCTAGCCAATTAGAAGTGAATACTAATTTCCATATTTTCAAAAATAAAATTAAGCCTATGTGGGAAGATCCAGCGAATGAAAATGTTAGTATTTAAGTTTTTATTACTTTTGATTAGTATGATTGACATTAATAATCTTCATATTTATAATATAAGGGTGGAAAATGGGTGATTTCAATGAGAAATGCCCCGTTATTGGATCGTTGTTGGACTTGGCTTGTATATTCGTTGGTTGGTGAAGAGTTGGACGAAAATGATGATATATGTGGTGCTGGTAAATAAATTGAATTTGTCATTATTATCATTATCATCATTATCATCATTTAGTTTAAAATGATTTTTGTTTTTTAAAGTGATGTCGCGTCGAATTCGAGGTGACAGAATCGCTGTGTGGGTACGAGACAAGGATAATGTCTCTGTCATTAATGGAATAGGGTAAGCTACAAAATGATTGGCTTTATTGTGCGGCATGCATCTTCGTATAACTGAATTTTGTTGTCAATCATAGGAGACGATTATTAAAAATCCTTGATTTACAAAATGAAAAAGGCATCGGGATGGACTTTCAGGTATATTATGCGAGAAATTGTTCACCAAATAAATTGAAACAAGCATGTATACGAGGCCTTTAAATTGAATTTTATTTATTTGCTTAGTTTAATGAAGATGCACTCAAATCCGGTACTTCGTATAATAATCGAGTCTATTTATCACTGGAAAGCCTTAAACAAGAGCTTGAAAATGAGGAAAAGGTTAAAAGAGAAGCCGCAGAAAAAGCAAAATTGAATGAATCTCCGACTGATATTATAACAGAAGATGTAGATGCCAACGACGCTGACCGTGACGATAATGTTAATGGTGTAGGTTCTTTGGAAGAACATCTTGGTAAAGTTACAGATGATGGCCATCATCATGGTCATGCAGACTCTGCCGAAAAAGATTCCTCATAAACGCGCGTTATCAATCTTATCACCAAAACGTTTGTTTTCTTTATTTAAAATTTTTTTTGTTCATATTTATTTAATATTTATTTGGTAGTATTTATTTTTTTTGATTCTTTGGATTCAATATTATTCTTCATTCAATTCTCTTTATAAATACATGCATTCATACACAACTTTATTTATATATACATACACATTCGATTTTTCGTCTTTATACTTTTGTCGTGTAAGATGAGCGATCAAACTCTCAGCATAAAATTTTTTGTATTTATTTCTTTCCCGGATGAGATAATTTAAATGTGCTCTTATTAAATGATAACAGAATTGGGAAACGTGAATTTATATTATGTTAGACAAAAACATAATTTCTCAAATTTGTTGTATAGACTTTTAGAATTATTTAATAAAGAATTCTACGAATTCTAAATTTTAATTAATGTCACAAAGAATCATCCTTCCAAATCCAAAAGAATTCCGCTTGATCAATCGACGAAAATTCATTCCAGCATTTGCCAACAACACCAAATGTCGCGACGTAGTACCCACAAAACTCCCAGACCTCACCTTTCAGATTCTGATTCAAATACTGAAATGACACGCGTCTGCTTTTATCTAATGGCAAACATTCACCGATCACAGCAATTTCTTCACCAGAATCGTAGGTTAGTTGACCTTCTATGAAAAAAGATGTTGCGAGGACATCATTATTAGATATTGGCGACGATGATGACGTAAAATAATTTCTTGGTTGTAGTAAAGAATTGTAATGGTGGTCGTTGTCTATAATTGTGAAATTGAGATCGAGTAATAAAAGATTTGTGATTCTTGTCATTTGCGAGTTTGTAGAGAAACCGATCCAATAATTTGGCATAGGTGTGTCATATGCATCGTTCCTCATGCACCATAATATTTTGTTAGTGGAGAACATCTGTATTGAAAGAAAACAGTTAACACTTTTTACTAATTAATTATTGAATATTCTTTGATTATTCTTACATCAAGCATGTCTTCGATCCATAACATCCATTCATCATTTTTGCGTGACTCAAAAACAAGAGAACACGGAGAAAAATATGGAGCAACAAATTCTTTATTTTCATTACGCAAACAAATATGAAGAGCGTGAGTATATAGGGTATTATTAGCGCTATCTTTGGTAGGATCCCAAGTTAGCACTCGATCATGAAATTCAGCGGCCATGCTCCCAACGATTATATCAAGGCTTGGAATATCTGTTTCCGACATTAATTATTCATTTCAGTATTGATAATCTTTGACGAATAACCATTGAACTTATTATTTATTTATTAAAGGAAAGAATTCACCTTGTGTCAACAAATAAGAGATCACTTTAATCGTTAACAAGACAGAAGTGAAATGTTTCAACGATAAATCTGCCCAGGAATGTAGCCGTTGATACACTTGAATGCAAAAATCGGCGGCACACAGATCCACCAACTTCTTTGTGTTTCTCCCGTCTAAAGGATGTTTAACATAAAATAATAACATCTTCTTGACGGCATACAATATTTTGACGTTGTATTATAACTACACATAATTTTGATTAAGCTTCCCAACTAACCAACTAAACAACTAACTAACTAACCATTTTCGCTGATCAGCATCCACAAACTGGTCAAAACCTCCAACACACTATCCACGTATTGTGGTTCGATCCGGAACAACGACGAATTCATAAAAGAAGTAGATAACTTCGATCGTCGGTAATAAATCTTTCGAAAATTACAGATTCGAAAACGTCGTTTTCGCGCGAGGACGTCATATTGGTCGCTAAACAACTTTTCCCAAACGACAGGATCGTGTGATATCTTGAATAATGTTTTGCAGGTGAGAGGTAATGATAATATGGCAGTTTTGGGTCTATTCTCTGATAAAATTACTTTATGCAAAATGAGTAAAAGTATTTCGGTTGGAAGAGAACAAAGTCCAACTGAATTTGGAGAATAGGGATTTGATTCTGTATGGTCATTAGTTTCGGAATCTGGTTGTGAATCATCGTCGTAGATAGAATGAGAAGAATCTGGATTTGAGTTGTTATTGTAATTAACTTTGTCTTCTATTGGATAATCATCAAACATGTCAAGGTCATATTCTTCGAAAAATGTGTAGTCCATTCTTTCCTACGAGCAGCGGCTCGCTACCAGATCATCTTATTTCTGACGATGATCATTCTACATACACATGAACATCCGAATACGAATGTAAATCAACATGTCTAAAGCAACTGTTGTCTCTGCTCCCGGAAAAGTTCTAATTGCAGGCGGCTATCTTGTTCTCGATAGAGAGTATGAAGGCCTTGTTATAGGAGTAGATGCGAGATTTTACACCATTATTAAACAAGGAACTTACGATTCCTTTGGAAAAGTTGTTGTAAGGTCGCCACAATTCCTAAATGCAAGTTGGGAATACGCGTATATTTATGCGTCTTCCGAACTCGAAAGCAAGTGAGTAGTGGTAATTAATCAAGTGACTATTATCACACATGAAATCGTGAGTCTATAAATGAATAAAATAATTCGCATTCTCTTTTTTAAGCGACAGCGATAATAAAAACCCGTTTGTTGAAATTGCTATTAAATACTCTTTAGCAATTATTTCAAGACGCGTTTCTACCGAGAAGTTTAAAGAGAAACTGCGGAATGGACTAGACATTTATATTGTTGGCGATAATGACTTTTATTCTCAACGTGAGCAGGTACAGTCAAATACCGATTTCGTCACATTCGCAATTTTATCACTGCCCTACCATAAAAATCGGAATTTGAATTTGCCAATTAAACGAATCTAAAAGATTTATCTTTAACTAATGTTTACAGCTCAATAAGCTTAATCTTCCTCTTACTGCTTCCTCGTTAAGATCTTTGGACTCTTTCTGTAAATTGAATACCACGTTAAAGGAAGTACATAAAACTGGGTTGGGCTCTTCTGCATCCATGATAACATCACTTGTTGCCGCCTTATTTATTAATTTCGAGGCTATTGATATTGCGGCCGAAAATGAGGAAAATGCATACGGTCGAACTTTAATACACAATGTCGCGCAATTTTGTCACAGTTTGGCGCAAGGAAAAGTTGGTTCAGGATTTGATGTTTCCTCTGCTGTTTGGGGAAGTCATGTTTACCGACGTTTCTTGCCTGGCATATTAAGCTCGATTATGTCTGTAGGTTTCATCATAATGATACTGCGAATTAATGCCTTTCTTGTACCTAACGAGAATTTAATTTCATCTAACTAATTGACTATATAATAGAATACATCCAATTTTGAACATATTTACAAAATCGTTTCCCCGGAAAATAAGTAACTATGAATTATATTAGATTACTAAATAAAGGATTGATAATCTTATTTGTTTCTTAGATGGGATAATTTGGTTACACCTTTTTCTCTTCCGCCCGAGTTTATACTAGTTTTAGCTGATGTTGATGCCGGATCTCATACCCCAAGTATGGTAGGAAAAGTATTAGCGTGGCGTAAGAATAACTTGGATCGAGGTTTGAATCTTGATTGAAAACTTTTTGTATTATTTATGCTGGCTGAATTTAATTTTTTACGCACACATAGCGAATTCTTTATGGACAAAACTTGGCACCTATAATAATTCTATTGTTGAAAATATGCATAAATTATCTGAAATATATGCCCATGATCCCTCAACATATACTGTCGGGATTAACTTAGGATCCCTTTCAAAAGGGTCTGAAGTTAGTAAATCCATTTTTTCAAAAATTGAGTTTTATAATTTGTTGGTTTACTAATTTTATATTTCAGCTTCCCCGCCTTGCCGAAAGAAATTCTGAAAACAAAGTTATTCAGCTTCTTTCCGGCATATATGTATCGTTCCAGGTATGAATCCACAACTTTTTTATATTCTATGGATTGATTTTTATGCAAATTTTAACCGCATAAATTAATTTGATCATCTTGTGGAAAAAGACGATTCGTGAACTTTTACGTGAAATGTCCACACAATCTGACGTCCCTATTGAACCTCCGATGCAAACTCGGTTACTGGATGCTTGCATGGAAGTACCAGGTGTATTAATGGCAGGCGTCCCCGGAGGTGAGTAAATGACAAAATTTTATTCTGGAAATTTCATTTTATTTTTAATTACAAGTATTATTATCAAATAGCTGGCGGATTTGATGCGATCTTCTGTATTACTATTAGCCAAGCTGCAATAGATGGCATAGAACGAGTATGGAATACATGGGAGGAGATGAGTGTTGCTCCATTGTTGACGCGTGCTTCTTCCAAAGGTTTCATTAAAGAGAATTTGGATGATCATGCGAGATTGAAGGCATTCTTACGATAACTCTCCCAATTAGAATTTTGAATGAAATTATGGTCAAATTTTAATTTATTAATTTTTTATCAAATTATCTATATAACTGTATAATATGTATTGATATGTATATTATATTACTCTTTCCCTGAGGAATTTTAAACAAATTTCTATTATATAAATCAAAATTCACAAATTTTACTAAGATTCAGAATTGATATTATTAGCTTTTACAATCCGAACACCAGGAATAGCAGTTGGAATAAAGGTTCGTTGACAATCCGCGTAAGCTACACCAATCCCAAATCCTGTAGAAATAGCAATCGGCCACGTTCGTTCTTAAAAAAAATGATAATTAGCTTTTTGTCATAAAAAAAGATTATATTAGCAAAACAACTTACTCCTAAATATAAGCGCTGATGCGATAATACCGACGCTTAGTCCAATACCCGTTTTTACCAGCAAATTGGATATGCATTTGTCCCACTAAAAAAAAATTAAATTTACTTGTAAAAATAATTTTTAAGTTATATTAATTAATTCAATTCGTACTTTTTCGTTCAAAATTTCTTCACTCGGAATATTTTCTTCGCTAACCATTGTCTTACGTTCGGTTAATATAATTTAGGTGATAATAATAATAATGGCTTGGAACGCGAGTAATCGATGAAAGTATTTTTTTTCATATAAAATTAAAGTCATGTGCAAGATTTATCCAAGTACATATATTGGATCACGATCATGACATATAAGCAAACATTTAGAATCAAACGAAATAATGGCAAGTTTTTTATTCCGTAAATTTATACTTGGCGTGTTCTAAGGTCCTTATTCTTCTAAAGTCAGGTAAACGCTCTAGCAGCAGTGACGTAAGCACTACGACAACAGCATCTAGACGCGTAAAGCCTAGACCCATTTCGACAGACTTAACCGATGAGCAACACAAAGAAATACGTGATGCCTTTGACATGTTTGTCCCAGAGGGTGAAACCGAAATGGACACAAAAGACCTCAAGGTTGCCATGCGTGCGTTAGGCTTTGAGTTGAAAAAGGAAGAGTTGAAAAGAATACTAAGTGACCTTGATTCTCCAGAACGCGGTCAAATAGACTACGATACCTTTGTCCTAATTGTTGACGCAAAATTGGTTTGTATTGGATTTTATTCTTTTAACGTGCTTTCTTTGTGAATGAGTGGTTGGATTGCAGCAATTATTCGTCAATGCGCTATTTTCTGAAAATAAAAATAACACATCGTTTGCCACGCTAAATTTCTATTTACTGACAACATCAACAAGTCTGAATGTGATATCAAAGAGGAATTTAAAAAGATCTTTGCCATGTTTGATGACGATGAGACCGGGAAAATATCTTTCAAGAATTTGAAGAGAGTCGCGCAAGAATTAAACGAAAATATAGATGATAATGAGTTACGAGAGATGATTGAAGAGGCGGATAGGAATGGTGATGGTGAGGTTGATGAGGAAGAGTTTATTCACTTGATGCAGAAATTGAATGTTTACTAATTAATTTTATGTATAATATAATGTAATTCTTCTCTTTCTTGTTTAAATCTGTCGCTTTTATAAGTAACATTTGTTACTTTATAAACATGTATATATATTAATAAGCAAAAAATTTTTATATCATAACTATTATTTATTACTAAAAAAAGAAACAATTTCTCTATAATTCTCACATTTTGAAAACATTGGATAAAAAACAAGATAAGTGTGATTGTTCTTTAATTCTTAGTTTATTGACAAATAAAATGATATTAATTTTTTATTAATTTCAATAAATATGATTTTGCAATTAAAATAAGAGATTATTAACACAATATTATAAATTTGCAGTTAAAATGAGAAATTATAAATAATATAAAATAATTTTACAATTATAAACAAATACTAGTTTATTAGTTATCAAAAAGGAATTGTTATTATTTTGTTAAAATATATATGATATTTATAAATTATAAAACTTCAATTTCTAATGAAAATAAAGATTAAATTAAATTGAAATTCAAATAAAAATTCAAATCAAATAGAAATTTTAAAAATAATTTAATCAATAATATAAAAATATAATAAGCCAATAAAAATATAGAAAATAATATATTTATTCATAATAGAATTCTTATTGTTAAGAATTTTACTTCATAAAATAATTATTTATATTAATATATTAATAGTAAAATTTTTTTAGAATTTTGTACAAGAAATTCAAACATTTCTAAAAATATATTTTTCAAATTATTGCTTTTTTTGTGACTTAATTTTTTAATTATACTTAATTTAATTTAATTCTTGTAATTCAAAATATTAATATAATTTTTAAAGATGTATAAATTTTTTCAATAATATTTTGAGAAAAAATTTGTTATTTAAAATGCTATATTTTTGTATTTTTTTGAATAATAGTTAATTTTTTTAAAATTTATTTAATTTCAAAGTATATAACAATAATAATATATTAATCAAGTATTAATAATATAAAATAAAAAAATCAGCTTGCTTGAAATTTGCTAAACTTTGCATTATTTTTTCAAGAATTTTTGTTTTAAACTTTATTAATGACAAATAATTGTTATTAATTATATAATTAAAAAATTTTTTTTTAGAAGTTGGTAAAGCAAAAATAAATTAAAATTCAAAATAATATTATTATATTTGATTATATAATTTTATAATTAATTGTTATTACTATAGTTAATAATAATTATTATATATTTATTTTAATTATTAATAAATAATAATAGTTTAATTAGATTTATATTAATCTTTTCAAATAGTAATTTAGTTTTAATTGAATATAATAAATTATTTTATATTTTATTTTTTTGTTAATATTAGAGTTTTAAAGTTTAATTCAAATTCAATTTGAATTTAATAAATTTAGTTTAAACTTCAAATTTTTCTTAAATATACCAAAAAATTTGGTTTAAGTTTGATTCAAATTTCAAATTTTTCTTGAATATATTAAAAACTTTGATTTGAATTTGGTTTAAACTTCAAAAATTTTTTTAAATACACCAAAAAGTCTGGTTCAAGTTCAATTTGAACTTCAAATTATTTTTAAATACAACAAAAATTTGGTTTGAGTTTATTTAATTCAAGTTAAATTTAATTTAAATTCAAATTTGATTTGAGTTTAAATCTAATTCAAGTTTATTATAAGTTTGATTTAAGTTTATTTAATATAAATTTAGTTTAAGTTCAAGAATAATTTAAGTTTATTAAGTTTAATTCAAGTTTATATTCAAGTATAAGAACAAGTTTAATATTTAATTATATCTTTAAATTAATTTTGGTTATATTTCTAAATTATATTATTAATTTTAGAATTTATCTTTATTTAATTTTGTTACCGTTTTGATAGGGCTTTCGAAATACTCAAAGGTATTTATAAAATTTAAGGAATATTCAAAGGGAAACTTC